ACAGAACTTTTTTGGTTACCTTGTATATATATATATATATATATATATATATATATATATATATATATATTAGATTCCTGTAGGAGAACACAATTTTTTTCTTTAGCGACGCTTGTTGATTCTAGGCCTGTTGTTATGGCATGAAAATGAAAAAAAAAACGCTTAAAATATTCGTTTATATTATTATTATTAATAATAATAATATAAACGAATATTTTAAGCGTTTTTTTTCATTTTTCATAAGCAATAACAACAATTATTAATAATAATAATATATATTTATATATACATATATATATATATATATAAAGAGATAAAAAATGATCATAGATAGATACATCAGGAAAAATAAATGTTTTCATTGCTTATTTTTATCTAAACTGCTACAATATGATATTAGTTTAAGTATCACTTTTTAATGTTTTCTTGCTCAGAAAAGTGAACGTCAAAGGCGTATGAACATTTCATTCATTCAGTTGGACCAGTGATGCCGAACGTTTCCCGTCTTGCCTGAATCATTTCCGAGCAACTGACGGTCGCCGTAGAATCAACCTTGAGAAGTAGAGATATATCACCGATGAGGATTCCAATTTCCAATGCCAGCAATCACAGACTAATTTGTGCCAATCTTGAAAATCCATGGACACTTAACACTCCGGCAAGGCATTTTTTTTTTTTGCCACACACGTTGCATAGTGTAGAGTCTCTAGAAGAAGAATTCAATAGTTGTTTCAAAGAATTCAGTAGGTGCTTCATGACATAGGCATTATGAGTTTCTGAAGACTTAGCTGAAGCGTATGCCTCACTCTGCAATCAACACGACAACGCAAAACTGGTTTTAACTTTATAGTTTCTTTTCTTAGACTTTCGTTAATTCAAAACTAGAGATTCCACTATGTCCAGTATTTAGGGAAACACGGAGTCGTGCCTTTCCTTTGTGTATTACTATGTATTAATCCACGTTTTGCGCCAATGAGATATCCGAAAATCCAAATGAAATCAACTAAACCAACTTCAATAGTTGACTCTGAAAGAAGAGAGAACTTTTGAAATTTTGCCTTGTGTTTTTGCAAAGAGAGTTTGGTGTGAAAACTAGATGGATAAAAATGCAACTCTAGAGTTTTGATAGCACACAGAAAGGAAGCTGCAGGGGAAAAGGTATTAAAAGAAAGTGAAATGAAAGGACTAAAGAATTCATTATTATCAGTAAGAGAAAAACTCCAAGAGGCGAAATACAAGTATGAGATACCGAGATCAAGCAAGTACGAACATTTAAATATATATGATGCATGATACCACCTTATTTATTATTAATTTAAATATATTTTCGGCATTTTTCATATGCAAAAAAGATGATGGCCTCAGTTTTTGGAATGCAAAAGGTATTGTGTTTGTCATCAAAATGGCCAAACCCTTAATGGAGAGTACTATGCCAACTTACTGAGGCAGTTATTAAAGGCTATCAAGTCCAAACACCCAGGGAAATTGACGAAAGGATTCCTGTTTCAAAAGAATAATGCTCCAGCACATGTTGGTTTCAATGATACAGGAAATAAGCTACAGGATCTCAGAAAAACGGTATTAAAGAAAAGCGAGAAGAAAGGACTATGCACCAATTGTAAGAAGTCAGAAAGATGCGAAATACGAATTGGAGATATCAAAAAAAAAATGTCTGGGAAATGTTTTAACAGGAGGTGGAAAATATGTCACCAAAATCCGAAGGGGCATTGATATAGTGAAAGATGCCTTCCTAAACTAAGCAAACTAAGAATAGAAAAACCTAAGCAAACTAAGAAACAGAAATTTTTCGTTAGAAACAAATATATGAGAGCCAAATTGTAATATCGGTCCTTTCATACGGATGTGAATGCTGGACAATCTCCTGACCGATAAAGAAAAGTATTAAGTATAAATATGGTTCTACGGGATGGTGCTGAAAATGTAACGTGATTAACGAGGAAGTTTTGAGAAAAATGGCACCAAAAAGATACTTATACTTAGAATCAGAAAGAGGCAGCTGACATTTATATGACGCATATTGGGAACAGTGGTCCTGAAGAATTTGGCACTCACAGAAGAACATGTTGAAGTCAAGAGAGGAGGGAGAAATGCAGCGAGTAACCTACTTAACGAGCTTGAGTAAATGGGATTATGAGAGAAAAACCTTAATAAACACTACAAACAATAGGACATTATGGAGAGCCATGGTCGCCTAAGTCCTGAATAGACACAGCACATAGAAGAAGGAAAATAGATATAATGCCAGATAATAAATATAACGTATAGCTTTTTTAAAGGTTTGTCTTTATTCTATAAAGATAGGTGAGAATGCGCTGTGACAAGTGAAGAACATATTGCGTCAGGAAGTAGCGCCTGCCAGATTTAAAATTATCATCCTCATGTTTTGACATCTCATTCAAGTGCCTGGAGGGAACGTGCCATCATCGCGGCCGCTAAACAGGCTCGGGACTTAAGATTGAAAAATATAAACAAGCGTTGATTGGGAGGTAATAAGCTTTGAAAATAGACAGCAACCAATGCAATGTTCTTCTTCTATATGTGCCGTATCCCTTTAGGACGTAGGCGATCACGGCTCTCCACAATTTCCTGTCTTTCGTAGCTCATAATAAATTCTTTATTTTCTTTTATTTCTCCTAAAATTTGTTCCGCAATCTATTTAATAAATATGTTATGCGTCTGTCCCTCCTGCCCTTAACCTGTCCCGTGAGTATCAGATTTTCCAAGCCGGCTTTCCTTTTTGTTTCAATTTTCTCTAAAATCTTGGCGTTGCTCACATGTTCAGTTTCAATGTATCAGGATCCTTCTGCAGAATCATATTTCTGTTACTTCAAGTCTTTTTGAGGAGATTGTCCAGCATTCTTTGCCATATAGAAGGACCGATATGACGTAACAGTTCAGTTTCTTGATACTCTGCTTAGCTTTGGGAAGGCAACTTTCGCTATCCCAATGCGCCTTCGGATTTCAGTGTCGAACTTTCCGTCCTCTGTTAGAACATTTCCCAGATATTTAAATTTTTCTACTTGTTTGATTTTGGTATCCCCAATTTGCTAACAACTACGCAATACATGTAGACAAATATTCGTTATAACGAAGAGAAATCTTTCAGCAGTGTACCGAAAAGAGTGCTCAGCGGTCTCGGCCCAATTCTCATCTTAAAATCAGCCATGACGTCACAAGTGTTTCTTGTTTGGGCTAAGAACTATCTGAGACAGTTACGTAAGGCTATCAAAACCAAACGCCTAGGAAAACTGACGAAAGGGATTTTTTTTTTCATCAGCACCCCTTAGTTTCAATGGCTAGTGTGCGTGACTGCTGCTTTCAACAGGTTGATCTCCCAGCCTATTCTCATGGTTTGGCCTCATATATCATCTTTTTCCCCAACATGAAAACCCCTTGGCTGGGAAACAGTATTTCAGTCATGATTACGTCAGATCTGCTGTTGATGGCTTTTTGATCAACAAAATAAAAGCGTCTTCACCACTGGGATTTAATCATTGCAACACCGATGGAAGACGCCTATGGCTTGCAAGGGGAACTATGTTGAAAAATAAACCTCATTTGGTTACATTGCATGGGAGTATGTTGGTTAGCCTATGAACTTTTCAGCCAAAGTGATTAGAACGTTCGCTTTCTGACCACGAAACCCGGGTTTGACTCTCACCATGGTCGATTTCTTAGGAAGGAGACCGATCCCACCGTGCGGCACCTTTGGAAAGTGCCTGAAAACCATACCGCGGGTTGAACCAAGCCTTGTGAGTGAAATTGGGTAGACGGACTATCGATAACTGCGCTAGCACGAAGCCACAAGTCATCGTGGCCGAGGGCTTGAGCGTACTGGTCTTGTTCAAACTGTTGATCCTGCGAGATAATACACTCTCTCCTGAAACTGTAACTAAGGTCTGATCAGCATATTTGCAGTGGGTACTGAGCAAACACAAATGTGCCAGTGCTATCATCTTTAATAGGGGTTGGCTAGCCAACCTTGTATCCTCGAATACAATTTGCCAGCTATTATATATATATATATATATATATATATATATATATATATATATATATATATAATGGCCGGGTACTGAGTTTCTGAGCACACCCATTTTCTGCTACTTCTAACCAATCACTATGGCAGACGCTTGCTTAGGTACATCTGTGCTTGTTCAACACCAACAGAGCCAACATGATGTCATCTATACTGAAACTATGGTGTTCGGATCTTAGTTACCGTTTCTGAGAGTCCATAATCTGAAGTGATTAATAGTTAGAACAGCGCTCAAACCATCGGTCACATACTATCAGAACCCTTGACGGCGCCCAAACATTTTCGTCCACCCATTTTCAATCACACAGCATGGGTCAACCCTAGATATGGTTTTCAGGTACGTTACAATGCTGCTGCGACCGCTTTCAGATAACATCAAGAATTCACCACCTTGTGGTTGGATTTGAATCCGACCCTTATGGTTGGAAAGCAAACATGCTAAGCCCCATTCAAACATGCATACATATGTGCGAAAATGATTGTTCAAATTCAGGTGTTTATTTGACTTGGAAGCTATGTATTCACCGATATTCGCTCTGAAATAGTCGGTTGGTGCATCAGGCGTTTGTAAACAATATTTATTATGAAAATGAAACATAACAATTCAACAATAACATTTTTAAATGGTTATTCCGGAGCTTATGATTACCGACAAGCATTTTCATAACCTGAAAATAAAATATTCTTTATTAAAAAAAGTAAACAAAACAGCAATTTTTATTAACAAATAACTCGCCTACAAAATCGCCTGATGCACCAACCCAATATCTATCACTAACAATATGTAAAAAGGTGTTAACAAATTCAAAAACTGTAAACGATTCTTTTTTATTTTCTTTTTTATTTCGTGTTTTCGTACTAAATTTCTTTTTCCCCCTTTTTTTTGTTTATTTGGCAGTACATTCGTTAAATCAATATGTTTCTGACGTTCAAGCTATAC